GAATAATGACCAAACCATGCAGTCCCTCCAGAGCTGAGCATCACCTGTGAGAGCACTGTGTCCTCAACCTCCAGATGCACAAATTTGGGGGCTGTCAGCTCAGGCATTCGAGTTGTTTCAAGCTTTTGTGTTCAAGCACAAAGCAAAAGGACAATCTCTCTGAAATGTTTTGGAATTGGATATATTGTCAGAAACTGTTTTTTTTTTTTTTTTTTTGTGATTTCACTGAGAAACCAAAGGAAACCTGCAAGTGTTAGAGAGAAGTTGAATTTGATCCTTTCAAAGAAGGTTGGCAAAATAATACTTTTAGTGGGACAGCATTTTGTGCTTCTTTTTCCAAAGGATCTGGGTAGCTACCACAGTGCTTTACTGATGACTTCCTGGTGACATAGGTTGTCTCACTTAAAAAGGTGGTTACCAAATCAAGCTTATAAAATGTGACCTGTATATACACTGATATAGCAGTGTGTACAAGTTTGCTGAGATAATATGAGTGAGATGTGATCTTCCTACCTGTTAGATATGGATTCTGAAGTCTATCTCTTTTGAGCTGCCCTCAGAGCATTTGAGAAAGACTAGGAGGGTCTGTACAGTTTATTGTGAATGTTATTATATTACAGCATTCATTGTATGACTTTTACACCACAGCAAGTGCTTTACAGAATACCAGCCAATTATGGCATTTATTTTTATTCCTTGATTCAACTTAAAGTTGCTTTTTGTGGCTCTCTTGAACTCCAAATGGGGAGCTAAACTATCAGAGTGGTGCAAAATTTGAGCATAGTATGAAGAAAACGTAATTGAAATCACAGCACTGAGAACAAAATTTCCAACTGATGTATATTAGGTAGTTTTCCTTAAGTAATTTTTTACTTCACCTTGCAGAGAAGTTGAATGGCTTAATGTCTTTACCAAAAGCATAAGCCAAGGGCCCCCTGGACCCCCCAAAGCAGTGGTGAATTTGCCAGAAGGTCAGCTGGCATGTCAATCTTAGGTATGAAAACACAGTTCCCTGTTTAGGATGGAAAGAGCTGGAGATGTCCCCCGCCCCCCAGGACGCTTGCCTCCTGTGAGGAAAGTCATGATGCATCTCGTGTGTGAGGGATACATCTCTCTTCTTCTGACAGCTGCAAAACTTAGAGGCAGTGATTTGAGGAGGAGAGATGGATGCTGTGGATTGGCCTTCCCCAGCACAGCACACGTCTATTCTTCCAGCGCGTAGCACCGCGCTCGTTACGGTTCTGTGCAGAGTGATTTCTCTGCATGGCCAGGTGATGTTTAAGGAGACTAATGAGAGAAATGATACGACCCAGAACACTGGTGTCAGGAAATATATTGCAAGGTGTCTATCTTGGGGAAGCTGGAAGCGGGGCTTGTCTTATTATATATTTCAAAGGGGATGTCTGTGTCACCACCAAGCTAGACATGCACCCTGTCCCATACTGCATTCAAATTACTATTTTTTTTCAAATCATAGCTTTCCATTCAATTATCATTGGCTTAATGACAGGCTCTGTGTTGTATGAGGGCAAAAGAAGAGTCCATCGCGTTAGCACACCATACTTTTTTGGCAGGAACTTGTTTCTGAGACCATTGTAACATAACTATGCAAGTGTCAGAGGGCAGGATAGAGGCTATTATGGGCTTCTGCTTTTTGTGAGGAAAATCAAACAAATGTCCCTGATGGAAAAAAGGAAACCAGCAGTGGGTTGTGATGACCAGAGAATGTTTTTGTGCAGTGACACTGTCAGTACCTGGTCTGTTGTCAAACTGAAAAAAATGCTTTTTTAAATGTCTTTTTTCATTCTGCTGGTAAGCAAAGAGGAGAAACCCCTCCTGTGAATTTTCATGAGATACCTTTTCCTCATTTCTAGCACTTAACAATCCAATTATATTTGGTTTTATGCTAGTATTTGCCTCTATTGCTATTGTTAGGTTTTTGAATTAGAGTGATTTTTCCATCCTGATGGTGCGGAAAAAAATATGTTTCATTATGACTTGTTATAACCCTGGAAATATCTTCTCTTGCTTGGGTTGATGACGATTTTTTATGTTGCTTTCTATACTGATGCCTAAAGTGAAGTAGAATGAAGCATAAGGAAGAGAAGCTTTACTAGAATATCGCTCCTTCCACTGTGTAAAATTATCCTGGAAAAAGCTCGCATCTTTCTAATGTTGCACTTTTCTTCTCCCCACTATTATTCAAGTAGTTTTTACAGATGAATGTTGTTTTTGCAGGGGCTGTTTATGAAGCCATTGCTCTTAGCAACACCTGCTCACCTGTGAGCAAATTACATGGCACAGATAAGGTATCTAGTTGTTTCTCGATAGGGTGACCTTAAAAACAGATTCTGCAACAAGACAAGCTTTTAAATTCCTAACCAAATATATTATGTGAGTAATAAAAAGAGCTCCTCAAAATGGCCACAGAGGCATTTCAGAGCACATTCTTGGGAATATTCACTTGTGCTAGTATTCATTAAGTTTGCTTTCAGCAAAAATTCTCGTGAATGAAATTTTATTCTCTAGTCATTATGGTTATTACTTTACTATCTTAGCAATAACCACATGCTTTGTATAAGGCCAGGACCTGATTTTGTCTAAGGCTGGAGAAACATCTTATGGGGTCTCCAGAGAGTGTATTGTCTAAATATAAGACCAGACTTGGCTAACAGCTCATGACTGGGAACTGCAAACCCTCAGAGAGCAATGGGTTTGTTTACAAGAAAATTCACAACTAGAGAAGGATGGTTGCAGAACCATACCAAATGTTATGCCTTTTGAGCTATAGGATGCTACAGTGTTACAACTCCACTGAATATGAATGTAATTTTACATTTTTATGTTATAAAAGTAGTTAAGGTGATGGTGACTGGCTTTACAGATAAAAGAGAATATCACTACAGATGTGGTTCATTACTACATTGAACTAGTTTATCCACACATTAATGAATATATGGGATCTGGACTCTGTTGTTGTTGTTTTGGGGTTTTTTTGGGTGGAGGGTGTTTGGTGGTGTTTCTTTTTAATTTTAAAAGTGGCCAAATGCAAATATGAGTTCCAGGGAAATCTCTGAAGCACAGGCTATGCCAAAGAGTTGGACTCTTGAGTTGTGCAATATATGGACTCCCAGGATGTGAATAAAGCTCTTCCTGGAAAAGTTAAATGAGATTTTTAGCTATTCACAGCTGAAGTCTGCATGAAGTCTTGTTTCCTCCAATCTAGAGGAATATAATAGAGCAGAGGTATCCTATCATGCTGGTGGAAATTGTGCCTAAGTCTAGGCACAAAGAAGTATTTTCAGAGCTGGAGCTCATTTGCTGAGCACAATGTGTATAACGTTGCTTTGTGTGCCTCTGCTTACTGGTGGAAAAGCATATCTGCCATGCCTTGGAGGTGATTCAGTCTGGCTGGCCAATGTGTAGAGTCCTTCAGCATGCTGTGGCTGGCACTGGCTGCTACCTGGAACATTGATTTTTGGGTGTACCAGGGTGCAAGCTGCACTGTGGTCATGGGTACAAGGTGCATAATATACACATGCAAAATGAAAAGGTTCTGTGAGGTGGAGGGAAGGAGTGTTAAAGAGGCAGTGTGCCAATCCCTTGTGTTACTCAAACCCCGAAATAACCATTCCTCTCTGCCTGTAGATCGATCAGAACAGTTTGTTGGCAGCAGAACTAAGCACAGGACACTAAGTATTTCTCCTGTTTTGTTGTCTAACTGCTCTCTTTTCCCATGTCATGTGAAAAATAAATAATCTGATTAAATCCTCAGACATTTATAATTAATTAGTTCTTCCTTACTCTTATCTTGTTTGCCTGTCCTTTTGTCTGACTCTTTTTTCTACTTTATCTCTCAATCATCAGATCCAAGAAATCATTCAATGATTTATTTTTAACAGATAAATGCAGCTTTACAGCATATTCTTTTCTTTTGAAAAAAAGACTTGGTCCCTTCTTTTGTCCATCCCACTGCACAAGTTGTCATGTTCTGGCACTGCAGTCACTTTGAAGTCCTTGAGCTATCATGTATTCTGTTGGTATTTGAGGAATTGAAAATCAATCACACAGCCTTATGGCTTGGGTTCAGCACAATTCTATTATGCCCACTCGCAAAAGTCAATTCAAACCTTTTGGGTTATATTTCAAAGCCTAATCAAGCTTGCTGTCCAGGCTGGTTTGGAGTCAGCTCACTCTTGTCTACAGGTCTGTTTATTAGAGGTTTTGTGTCAGAAACCAGTGTAAAAGAAAGCAGTTTTCATAGCAGTAGAATCATTCAGTAGGCATTTTGCAAATACAAACCACCCAAACAGGTTTTATGGTAGAGGAATACTTACTGTTGTAATACAGTTCTGCAAATATGTTTTTAAAAATGTAAAACCCCCAAAAATTATGTTGGTAACATAAAGCCATGTTTATATCTGTACTTGCTCATAAAAAGATGTCCCAGTTTGCTGAGATCAGTTTTTAGTCCTGTCAGGTTAAGCTGGTAAGAAAGTATTGTAGATTCAACCCTGAATTTAGATGGTGACTTTCATGCTTTGGACCATATGAACAAACGAGGGTGGTGCACCCAAGCAGATGGACCAACTCCTCCACGAATGAGTTGTGCCACCTCCATGTGACAAGTACCCATGGGGCTGAGTGTACAATGTCTATGTCAATCCTCTGATTTCCAGCAAGTGCCAAAAACTCACCCTGAGAATGAAAGTAGCTCTGTAGAGAACTGACCATTAGCAATCATCTGTGAAAATATGTACCTGTTGTGTATTGGGGGTGGATCAATCTCATCTCTATGTGAAGAAAGCAGTGACAGGCTCTTGGTTGCAGTATTTCCAGCTGATCTGTAGAAGCCTTCTCATGCACTGAAAGACTGGTGACCATGTTGTGGGAGCCAAGTGTGCAGTACAAATGGGAAGCAGCTCTCTCTTGCCATCCCCTGTGGGTTAAGGTCTTTCTCTGTGACCCATTCATGTTTCTTCTCGTCCTGTGTTCTGCAGAGGCGCAGTGATTTTCTCCAGTGGATGCTTGACTCCCGTGACTCAGCTGACTCCCTGGCAGCCGGGTGTTCTGATGTGATCAGCCCATCTGCTGCTTCCAGACAGAATGAGGCACCTCTTCCTGGCAGGACCCCATCTGAAAAGGTTCAGAAGACATTAACAGAGGATGAGATAGCAGGCCAAGCTTTCCTATTCCTGATTGCTGGGTATGAGACCACCACTAGCACGCTGTCCTTTGCCACATACTTGCTAGCCACCAACCCAGAGTGCCAGGAGAAGGTGCTTCAGGAAGTTGATGAGTTCTCTGCAAAACACGTGAGTATGAAGTGCTTGTGTGGAGCTTCCTGCAGGGATCAAGGCAATGTGAATGCCATCATGCCACTGTGGCACCTCCATGACCCCTATTTGTCTCAGTCATATATGCATATATTAACACTTTATTAATATTTTCAGTCAAAAATTAAAAATTAATCTCTACAGTTTAGGTTTTTTTGAAAGCTACTAAATTATATCACTTTACAGCAACACAAGAGATGGCCTAGAAACTTTGTGTCATAGTGAAAGCTTAACCTTTTAAAAGTATTTTACATTATTGAAATCGACCAGCTGTTGTCAGGCTCTAAAACTACACATTACTATTTTTTCCTCTTGTACAAATGCTTTTATTGGTTTTGTTTTCAATTTTATTTACTCATCCTTGTAGGAAAATTAACAGTGTTCTTACAAACCATAAATTGTGAAGTTTTGCTTTAAATGTTCATAACTTTTTCTTTTAGCAGCAGAATATATGTGTAAGCTTAAAAAAATCACATTATTTAATTCTCTTATACTGTGTTCAAACTGCTTCTCCTTCACTATCTGTATTTGCTAAGGGCATTTATGTTTCCTAGATAACCATTGACCATATTTGGTATAATTAGCAGACCATGCAGCAGCCATTCTTCCACCCTACACTCTCTGCAGAAGTTGGTGGTTATGATAATTCAGATTGAGGGTCTTTTTCTTTACACAAATGCTTTCATAATGGATCATGATCCTAACAGGAATAAAATTACACCAGGCATGGCTGTCTTGCAGGATTTTAGCTGTGGGATTTGGATGCTGAAAGCCTTTACTATACAGTTTTTGGAGTTTCATACTTTTATGCATTCCATCCTGTGTTGTACTTACAGAACAAGAAAAGAACTGTATAATTTCCTGCTTTGCTCGTAATAGAAGATTCTCGACTATGCACAGTGTGTCCATTCAAAAGCTACCGTTTCCCTCCTTTTGCTTGTGGAAACATAAAAACCAGGGTTTGTGTACACAGAAAATGTTGTCTGTTGTCTTGCACGCTGAGGTTCTGACCATGATGGTTTTCCATCAAAGATTGTCATTACTCTGAGGGTGCAGATGGGTGACAGCAGTGGAGGTTAGGGTTGTGCAGTCAGACCTACAGAGCTTTTTCTCAGTGTGTGCTTCATACCTGCCACTGGTATGAGCTAACTCATGAAACCGTTGATGTTCTCACTGTAGGGCTTGGGTTATATCCTTAGGTTGTTAGCTCTACATCACTGCAGCTGGAGTGTATTTACTTGTTTCATTGACATATGGCAGACCTGTTTGTGCCCTCACGTATAGTTAGGTCAACTGACTTCTGTAAGACCTGCAAAGATGGGAAGGTGCAACTTGGCCTGGAGTATGTGCAGTTTACTAGTTAGTATTGGTGGCAGAGTTGCACACAGAAACACTTATTATTCAGTCACAAGGAAAATATGGTTCATCTTCTCACCAATTCCTGAAAGCTGACAACCTAAGAAACCAAAGTGAAATTGCTGGGAGAGGTATCCAATAGGATAGGTACGTGATGTCATTCATGTCTGTCTGTAGATGGTGATCTGAGTTAGTTACCTTTTCCATGTTAGTGCATAGAAAGCTGAATACGAGCAGTAATTAACTGTCTGATTGTTTATGGATATTTCATGTAGGGAGTCCATGCATATGGCCATGTCCACGTTAACTAGTAGTGTGCTGTCATAGACAGATTCATCCTCTAGCATGGCTGATAGTGAGGACTGTTGGATGCACACTCTATGCACCTCAGGAGTTTATTCTGGGTTAGTCTAAGCCTGACTCTGTGTACCAAATTCCTCTTAGCAGTTGGTCTGGTTTAGTTCCAGTTAAAGGAGCCCTTGCTGTGTACTTGGAGACTGCAGTGTGAAACAGTGCAAGAGATTCGGATGTGAGTCTGCTCCTGATCCAAGCTCAAGAACTAAATGGGACTTGTGTTATTTATGGTCTGTCTGAGCTGTCACTCACCATTAGTAACATTTCAATAATAATCCAATTAAAAGGCACAATTCTTGACTCTCTTGGTTCTCTAGGAATATTTTGCTAATAATTTCAGCTTTTGTATTGTCTAGGAGGCATAAGGATGCTTGTGGTAATGTGTAGAGAGATGGCACTCAAACTAAACTAATAATTTTTGCAGATTAGCACTGTATAAAGTCTGTGTGGTGCCTCAACCCAAACTGGTGTCCTCATCCTAAACCATGCTGTCCCACGTCACATATAATTACTGGAAGAATCTTTCACATAACTTCCCTGTACTTTATGAATTTTCAGGTTTAGCTTTAGATGATGCATATTTTGCTGTATGGCCAAGGGTAAGAGGGAGAGAAGGATAACTATACATCTGCAGTCCCTGATACAAGGAAATTCGTAGATCTGATCTGTGCAGCCCCATCCTTCAAAAAATTTCCTTTTATAAACAGTTCATGATTTGGCAGAGGGGCAGAGGGGCAATACACTACTCAAGGAGCCCATCCCAGAATAAGGAAAAGAGTGCAGCAGTTCAGTCCCCTTAGTGACTGTAATTAACTACTTTTAGCCTAGAAGATGAGATCTATGTGAACGGTTTGCAAGTTACGGGAGCAGCAGCTATTTTAGAGCTGAGTATATATAGATGCTATGTTCAGTTGTCATGCAAGAGAGAGGAAGGGAGAGGACATAGAAGCTACAGGCTCACAGTTAGTTATCAAGTCAGTTGCTAAGAAATTTGATTAGGTTATTGCTTGTACTCAGCACATCAGCTTTGCTCTTATCAAGGTGCTTTGCAATTTTCAGAAAGAAAGGGCTTTAGAAGGCCAAGACATGGGGAATGATACAGTCAGATTGTTTTGACAGGTGGTGGAAGACTGATTTGATTTTCAGATATGCAAGTATTAAACACAGTACCCTCTTCAGCCAAATTTACACTCAGGTAATTATAACTACAAAATGCTCTCCACCACATCCCCTTCCTTCCTTCAACCATTTCAGTTGCCTCATGCAGCATGTTTTATTGCCCTAATCTGTGGTGTAGAGTTGTGGTCTGATTTTACAGCAGCTGCTGTGTATCACCCCAGAGATGGCTGTGCTTTGGTGGTGGACAGAGTGATTTATATACTCATTTACCAAAGTTTATAAAGACATGTGAGAGCCATCTGAGAAAAGATACTCTAAATGACAGGCACAGTTCCAGCTTTTTGGCACTCCAGCTAAAAAGGCAAAGCATGGTGACCTTGTGATAGTAAGGAGAGAGAGCAGGGTTAGTCCATCTGGATGTACAGCAGTATTTTGGTGGCTCTGGGTGTTGTAGTTGAGGATACCTCTGAGTTTGCTTTGATTTTCGTCTGTTTTGCACAGTGAGTATCTTAGCAGGATGGGAGAGTATAAAGGGAATGAAGAAAGCCGAGGCACTGCTGTGCTAGAGATCCCTGGGCTAGCATGGTGCAAGTGGCTGCAGCATGGTACAGAAATACAAGACTAGGTACTGGAAGAGGTCTAACCCCAGCAATGTGCTGGGAGTTGGAAGCCCAGAGGAGAGTTAGGTCTGACTGATCATGTTCTCCTGCTGATCGTGTTGTGTCCAACCAAATTTGTTTCAGAGCTGCCTTGGGAGATCTCACTGCCTCTCTCTGCCACACTGCCTGAATACATGGTGGAGATGACACTTCCAGGCAAGTGTCCTCAGAAAACAGTGCCTGAAGTGAGTCATGGGTTGTGACCTCTTTTTTTACCTCCAGGACAATCCTTATGTGTTTGCTAAAGGACCTTCTAGGTCTTTCTTGGCTGATATCTCAGTGTGGAGATGGTGCCTCTTTCCTTCAAAGTAAGAAGAGGCACTTGGCCCATTTCGTAGCCTGGCAAGCAGGAGAAGACTCTAGCTTTGGTTATTGTAGAGGGTAGGACACACAGGTTATTTCCCTCCTCACCTGTATCTGGGTCTCTGGGGTGTAGGGAAAGAGAGTGCACAGCTTTTTATTGTCTCTGGGGAAGTAGAGAGACAAGGTACTGAGTGGTGACTACTGTCATTCACACACTGCATCTTCCCATTCTACCTCTGAATCCCTGTGTCTGCTCTAACTGCACTGGGAAAAATAAGTTTAAGCATAATTCCTCTAACACAAAAATAAAAATTCAAATTGTAGAGGCTTTGACCTGGTCCTCTTCATAAATCCCTTGAGGGTGTAGTATGTGCACTGTGAAGGGCAATCCACTGAAAATAAGATGCACCTATTTGCTACAAGCTCATTGCTGGGTGTGCAGCTTGGTTTGATACCATGAAGACAAAATAAACAGGATGAAAGGAGAGTTAAATATGAGCTAGTGGGGGCAGGACACCTACATCTGTGCCTGTATAAAATAATATTACTTTCTGCAGAGACCACAGATCTGTTTCCAGGACAGCAAAGAGGGGTCAGATCTTCAGGAGGCTGTAAACTGGCACATGCTTGGTATTAGTAGAGGTATGGTGATAAGCATCAGTTGAGAAGCAAGCCTGGTATATACTAGTAAAGGAGCACAGGGGGAAAAAAAGAAAGACTGCTATTTCAAGACCAGATTCTTTTTATAGCGTTTGTGGCTAACCATCCCTAAACTGTTAGAGGCTATACAGTTGTGAAAGAGATGTTTTTATCCATATTTACCAAGTGAGAAGGAATGCACCCATGGTCTTCACCCTCTGCCTTTCAATCAATAATGATCCCTGTGCAGAGTTTTTAAAGAGCCCTTCACAAGACATGTATTTAGGAACAGTTCTGTGCTTGTGACCGATTATTTTGTTGTAAAAGCATATTGATTTTTGTTTATGTGTGTGTGTGCTTAGCAAAAGCATAGCAAGCCTGCAGCACACATTTGTTCTGAGCAGATGTACACTTAACTTCTGAGCACCTCTGTGTGCTCTGAGCTGCTCTGTGTGTTTTGTCCTAAGCCACAGTGCTTAGGGCTTGAAAAACTGCATCTTCCATGCTGGGGATTCCCTTAATGTGAGGCCTCTTTTTCTTACCTCTATT